AATTATTCAAGTTTTCAGTTTGCCAGCAGTGGGTAAAAAAAGCATCCAATATTTCCTCTCACAATGGTACAGCAGTTACAGAGCTGGCCAAGCTGTATGGCACAGTGTTCTCTTCTGAATTGGAGTCAGTGGTGTGGATGTGTCTCTAATTAGTTTAGCCTTTGTTTTTTTTTTCTTCTTTCTTTTCCTTGTTAGGGGAGTCTTAGCCCCTGTTGTTTTGCCGTCAGTACAAGCGCTAGCAGAGCTAGCAGGGCAGTTGTGAGCCCTGGGGAGAGGACTGAACAGATTGGGTGTTAAGATGAGAGAGGAGTGTGAAACACAGCATCTCGGCTTCCTAGCAAATAGTTGACCGTCTCACCTGGGAGATGTTTCGGCAAAGTTAAGCCCCTCAGCGCCACCGTACACTAATGAAAACATTTTATGTGTCTGTGCTCATGGAGGTGGAACCTGGCTGATAGTACATGGCAAAATACATGTGTTAGGAAACAAGTGTCCAGTTATAAGTTAAGTCCTGGCCTACTAGGTAAAATGAGATGTAATTTCTTAAAGCTGTACTTGTATGTCAGGAGGGTTTTGTTTTTGTATAGAGTTTGTATGTTTTCCCTAGTCTGGGGTCCAAGACTTCCCGAGGTCCCAAAATCTCTCAAATTGAAGATTAGTTATTGTTCATTAAATATATTCTACTGGTATGAAAGATAAACCACCACCCCCTACCACTTTTAAAATGTCTTTAATGGAGTATATGGAATATATATGATTCACCTAATTTCCAACATACCCAGATGCTGCTCATAGATTCTCAAGAATCTTTTTTTCCTTCGAGACAGCTGTAAAGGCTACAACTCAGAGGAGAGGAAAGATGTGAAGTGGAAAGTGACAGACACTTTAAAGGTGTTGTTATTACAGGTGATATCAATTTGTATGCACATAAGCATTTAACATCTCCTGCATACCTTAAAGCCCAAGGCTGCCATAAAGCCCCAGGACCTGCTTGTTTGGCCATGTGTTAAACTCGTCCATCTGTGGAGGGCTCAGCTTGACAGACATCCCTGCGTCCACACTCATCTATTCCACAATCATTTGTTTAGTTAGGTCATAACTCTCACATGCCAGTTTCCATCACATTTCCTCCCGTCTTGCATGCCTGCCAGGCTGCCCGCTGGTGTTAAAGATAAACAAAATATGGCGCACTGGAAATGTAGGCTACCCCAGGTGGTTTTTTTGCATTAATAGAGCCTGAGCTGAGAGATGCTTTAACCCGCAGAATTCGAGTTGCATGACTGATTCAGAATGTTTGGCATTAAAAAGTGTCACATGTTTACTGTTCTTTTCTTTGATCTTAGACTGTGGTGCAAATGTAATGTCTGATGAGCAGACAATAGTTTTTAATAATGTTTATATAATTTTAATCTTGATTTTGTCCTTTTTGCTGCTTTGACTTTACACCTTCGAGTTACCCGGTTCGGAGTTTGTCTTTCCAAGAAAACGTGTAAACAAAACGCTATTCATATCGATGCCTTTGACAGCTTACATTTCAAAGGAGCCAGTGATATAATAATGTTCAACAGAAGTGACTTGCTGAGGGGCATATCTTATAACTGCTGCTTTAGAAGTCAGTTCAGGTTAATTTAGAGGGGTTTCTAATGTAGACAGCTATTTCTATGATATTGAAAAATTAAATTGACTTTAGCCGTGCATGAACACACATTAGAGTAAAAATAATTATGACACACAAAGGTAAATGAACCATCCATATTTCAAAAAAGGGGCTGTAGACCGTTATGATAGAGTTGAGCTTCTTTTAAAAGATGAACATGTTGGTGAGTGTTCACATACATAATCATTTTAATATATGTATTTTATGTGTTGACTCATTTGTTTTAACCTAACATTAATAATGAGGCTAATATTGTTTCTCCGTTGTTTTTTAAATGCAATTCCTGCAGAATTGATCTTCTTCCTGTTAATCTTATTTTGTTTGTTGAAGGATCCATATATCGATTGTGAAGTTATAGGACGGTGCTAAATAAACATTGTAAATATTGAGGGTTTTTTTCTCAGCCGATACTCGTATATTATACTGTATATCCAGCCTTTAAAATTGCATCATCACCATACCACAGTACTCCACTGCCAGCGGAGTGAAGAGTGGTTTAAAGTGCCTCCAGTTCCCCCCCACACGCGTAACCACCAGATAAACTTTATCACCTCGGGCCAAAACAGACATGAAGATTCTTCTCCAACTTATGTTTGGTTTTACTCATTACACACGGCAAATGCCTCGTCCTTATTGTACCAAACAACACCTTGTTCCTGACTCATCAACCCTTCCCTGCTGCCTCCAAGCTTCAGCGACTCCAACACAGTGCTGCAGCCCTCCAATTCCCTCTCGCCCCCTGTGAATATCCAAGCTGTCGATGCTGACTAGGATTAACATTTTCTTGCCAGGCCACAGTTGGAAAAGATCCGGCCTTCGGGCCACATATAATGCTCTGCTCCAGCCCTTGCAAACAAGGCCTGTTCGCTACAACTGTCATGTAGATACTAAGTAGCATGGATCAGCATTGTAGATACAAAGTTAACAACGCTTTGGATCAGTGTTCATTTCTTTTGATGAATACATGATTGAAGTTGGTGAAGATGATCTGATTTCGAGATTTTCCCCCGAAATGACCTTTGCTAAGAGGCTAAGTGGGTTTTTTTTTAAATTATGCTACAACAAGGAGTAAATCACCGAGTTCATTTCACACCTGCACATACAGTGGACAAATGATGTGGATTTTTGGCTTCACGGGAATGAGAGCCAAAAAAAGGAAAGATCCACCAAGTGTAGGCACGATGAGAGACAGATTCCAGATGAGCCTGTCGAATGGTTTCACTATTAATCCACAGACGTACGGATCTCTACAATAATCTGCCAAGTTTCTGCAGAAGTCACTGGAGCAGGGATGGCAGTATTTCACACCCCCGCCCTAGCCTTTACATCCTGCCTCTCAGACACTTCTTGGCAGCAAAAGGTGATGGCAAACATCTGTTAAAGTGTGTGTGAGACGTGTGTACGATGACAGAATACACTCGGCAGACAAAAGAAATGTGTTTTAAATTTAGATTGCGTTTCATTCAGACTTTCAGTTTTTATTATTATTTATTTTATTAGCCAATTAAGCTAACTTGGTGTTTTGCAGTGTAAAGAATGAACATGAAATAGATTGGATGTGCAAACATTTCAAGCAGCTACAAGGCTCCAGGGCTCATGTTTGAAAATTGATTCTGCATCCTTGCTGGCAGATAAATGAGCAGAAGCAAGTGGGAGAAGATAACTAACTTCCTTTGGAGTCAAATTGTTTCCCGTGGCTGGAGAAAAGGAAGTGGAGTCAGCTCCCTTTGGCTCCATCTGATGTCTTAACTTTTTCTCCTTTTGTTGCACAAACAGTGTTTTTTCTTTGGCTTTTCACTTGTCTACTGTAAGTATAAAAACAGTTGAGAGAATTATTTGGCATGTTCTCTGGGCGCTCCTCAGCAGCTGCCAGAGACGGGGCTGCTCAGAGTCTCTCAAGTCTTTTTATTTGGGTGATGCTGCTGAGAAATATAAATAAAGAAATGGAGCCAGTAATTGGTGGTTCTTGGTAATTAGGACCAGCCTGTCAGAGAGAGAAGGTACCTCACTCTGATGCCGCTGCAGCAATGGCAGTAATTACTATTACCTAATGGGGTTGTTGACACAGCCCCATTCTTAATCAGGATAGGGGGCTGTTGTTTACTGCCCCCACCTTGAAGAAGTTTAGCCACAGTAATGCTACAGGAATTAATTCTTACTACCCTTAATGTCCGTCCAGTCGTGAATTCTAACAGAGCGCTGATGAATTAGGTTTCCGTTCATCTTTGCAGTAATGGGTCGTACGTGTTTCTTTTTGCACCGTTGTACGGCGCTCGTCCATATTTTAATTAGTCCGACGGTTTGATTTTCTCTACAGGTGGTGTGACATAAACCATAAACAGCGGTATCAATCATCTCAGCAGGTTTTTGTGAAAACCCTGTAATCCCTTCATTTCATTCACGGATACTGTGGGGGTTGTTCTGGGCTTGGAGCATATCTACTCGCCTGTCTCTGCTCCTCTGTGTGAGAGATTGGATTCCCCAACTCCCCTTTTGCTCCATCCTTACACACACAACCACACACACACACACACACACACACACTAGTACAAATGTACCTGCCTCAACATTCACATAGCTCTTGTCAGATCCTCACCGTATAAATTGGCTGGTCTGACCTGATCATATATAGGGTATCTAACCAGGCACCATGTAACCTGTATAGGTGATGATTACAAGTTGTGGGTAATAACTTTCCCCTATCTGGCGTAAAATTCTGTGCATCTGGCCCCAAACTTACAAGCACAGCATTTGCTCTGTGAGATGGAGAATGTGAATTCTCCTGTAGAGGCAGAGTACCTTGGTGACTTTTCCCCTTCCAGCTGTCATGCAAAGCAATGGCCCTGTAGGCGATTCATACGACTTTATGCAAGCCAGTGTGAAAGTGGTTATTGGTTGGGTAGAAGGGGCAGTGATGGGGGGTAAGGACAGTTGCTGTTTTCACCTGTGCAGTAGCACAGAACACGCCAATTGCATTAGACCTGCATTAAACATGTGACTTGTTGTTACTTCCAGTGTGATGGACAGTCAAA